ATACCGGGGATCTACTGTACATCTTAAAGAAAGAGGACGCTCCATACAATGTTCAGACTTCAAATGTGTGAGTGCCCACTTTTATGCGGCGGATAGAACGGAAAATGGAGGAGAACTTGAACTTTAGTGTTAGTCGGACTGAGAGCCATTGTGGCACGGCGGGAGAGGTGGGCGGGGCGGGGGGCGGCAGGAACATTACAAGAGGAAGCCTCTGCTGACTGCTCAAAGCTTGATCCTCGATTGCTCACCTACTTTCCATGTCTGGGTGAAACAAGGAGGGCTAACGACGCTATAATAAGTTCGCACTTCCACACTCGGTCGCGGTCGTGATGAGCGATGAACCGTGATTATAACCTCAACCACAACCTCCTCGCGGCTCGCGGCACCCAAAACGTGTCTACCCACCGCACCGCACCGCGCCGTTGTCAAGTCCGAGACTCCGGGGGAAAGCCGGGCGTAGTCACCAACCCACTATTCTGCCGTGCTAAGGAAAAACGCCGTATGAACATTTGAGAGCTGCCAAATTTCCCCGAATAAAGCATGTATTCCTGAGGAAAGTTATGCATATTTTTCCTTGACATTTTCAGATGTTTTAGATAAAATCCTGAACAAAATTGACTGAAAATTTTGAGGAAAAATATTCACAATTTTCTCAGTAAAATTGGGTTTACCTAAAGGAAATATGGCAACGTCTGAAAGCTCATACGGCGTTCTTCCTTAGCACGGCAGTATTCTTGTCTCCCAAGTGACTCGTCAGGAAAATGACACTGATGCTTTCGAAAGGGCGCTCGAGGATTTAGAGTTAGTGAAGGCTCAATGTTTCGTCTCGATTTTGTTCAAAGAATGAGGCTGAATTCAAACGAAAATACTACTTAATAAGATAAGAGGTAGAGCACAGAACAGCACAAACTTCCGGTTAATTTCTTTTGGTTTGTATTTCTCTCGGTCTAATTGGTCAAATCTTCCGGCTAAAAAACTCTAAACCCGTCAAAACCAGGTACGAAGAGGAAGGATCGCACCTCGATCCCATTATTGACAGTGGCGGTACGGTCAGGGGCGCTACGGTGCTTCAGCACCTCAGAAGTTCTGATGGGTGACTCAGGGGCCCTTCCAGGACTCATGTAGGGGCCCCCTAACACTTCAAAAACTACACTGAAATAACAGCCGTGGAAGTCGTACTTGCGGGCTATAATCACATACCGTCCGCGATCCGGGCTCAAAGGCCGAAACTTCCGGGCGTAGTACATCGAAGCTACGGCTCCAGCACATCGGAGGTTTTGGCCTCTGAGCCTGGAACGGACGGTGTGCCTCTATACCCCCTTTTTTCAGTGTAACATAAAGGAGGACTTTTGGTTGGTTAGGAAGGTCCCGCCTGAGATGACTGGCCCCGAAAACGAATCAACACCCCAAGAATTTTCGAGGCAGACCGGCACTAGCTATTGGTACCCTAGCCACTCCCAAGTAGCAACCGATGGGCGAAAGTAAGGAAAACATAAATACATTAGGTCCTGCAGAATACATTTTTATTAAAGTCAAAGCTGGATACGATTTCATGTTCAGTATCAAGTTATCACTTCTTAATCTCAATGATCTCAAGCTATGCAGAAGGGACTTTGACCGAGTCGCCTTCATTTGAAAGATTAGGCCAAATGCATCCCTAAAAGCTCGAATATTGGTATTTCCATTCGTTACCTATTCACCCTAATAGATTCAATCTAGTTGATAAAAGTTTTGATCTTTTAATTTGCCCTCATTAAACAGAATAAGCAACGAGAGTCCTTTAGAGCTGGAATTAGTGGTATCCATTTCAATTTTTCTGTTCTCTGAACGCAACGTTCGGCAAATTGATTGCCGCTTACGGCCTGATTCTTACATTATTTTAGCGGATTTTGTACAGGGTGTTTCAGACCACCCGTACCAGGCCTTTTTCTCGGTTGGTTTAGGTCGTACGAAGTCGGAGACCGCGGGGTTGAATAGGGAATTGACCCCAAGGAATCCGAATTTCGTGGTCCCGAAATCCCCCCACCCCCCCTTGGGGGGTAAATGGGGGGTCACGATGCTAAAAGTCACAGTTCCCGACCGAATTGCGGATATATCGCATCAGAATTGCAAAGCACGGAAAATTTCACGTGGAATTGACCCCTAAAAATCCAAAATCGGACCATCCAAGGCCCAAAAATGACCCCCTAAAGAGGGGGACCGTACCCCCCTTCATAATTTCTCTTTGGTCTCAAAATTGACGTAAATTCTCCAGAAAAAGACGGTTTCCCAGGTAATCGACCTCAAGAAATCCAAATTTCATGGTCCCGAAGCTCCTCTAGGCCCCCTTGGGGGGTAAACGGGGGGGCCCAATTTTAAAAATCGGGGCTCCTTTCCGAATCGCAAATTGATTGCATCCAAATTGAAGAGCAGAACACATTTACATCTTAAGTGACTCCTAAGAGTTCTAATAGACCCCCCTGAACGGCAGAAAGTAACCCCCTGAGGAAGGGGGCCTCGCCCCCCAAAAAATTTCTCAGGATTCCTCTTTGGTCGCAAAATTGACGTCGATTCTCCAGAAAAAGACGGTTTCCCATGTAATCGACCCCGAGGACTCTAAATTTCATGTTCCCTGAGCTCCTCGGGGTCGATTACATGGGAAACCGTCTTTTTCTGGAGAATCGACGTCAATTTTGCGACCAAAGAGGAATCCTGAGAAATTTTTTGGGGGGCGAGGCCCCCTTCCTCAGGGGGTTACTTTCTGCCGTTCAGGGGGGTCTATTAGAACTCTTAGGAGTCACTTAAGATGTAAATGTGTTCTGCTCTTCAATTTGGATGCAATCAATTTGCGATTCGGAAAGGAGCCCCGATTTTTAAAATTGGGCCCCCCCGTTTACCCCCCAAGGGGGCCTAGAGGAGCTTCGGGACCATGAAATTTGGATTTCTTGAGGTCGATTACCTGGGAAACCGTCTTTTTCTGGAGAATTTACGTCAATTTTGAGACCAAAGAGAAATTATGAAGGGGGGTACGGTCCCCCTCTTTAGGGGGTCATTTTTGGGCCTTGGATGGTCCGATTTTGGATTTTTAGGGGTCAATTCCACGTGAAATTTTCCGTGCTTTGCAATTCTGATGCGATATATCCGCAATTCGGTCGGGAACTGTGACTTTTAGCATCGTGACCCCCCATTTACCCCCCAAGGGGGGGTGGGGGGATTTCGGGACCACGAAATTCGGATTCCTTGGGGTCAATTCCCTATTCAACCCCGCGGTCTCCGACTTCGTACGACCTAAACCAACCGAGAAAAAGGCCTGGTACGGGTGGTCTGAAACACCCTGTATACTGTTTTGAAGGGTTTTGACGATTGGGACAAAACATTCTGATTCCCAAAGCACAGCTTGAAGTACGTGACACGATTGCAGTGTGATCATTTTCAGTCCGTTTATAATAATATGGGCTATATTTGACCATTTAAAAAAAAAAAAAAAAAAAANAAAAAAAAAAAAAAAAAAAAAAAAAAAAAAAAAAAAAAAAAAAAAAAAAAAAAAAAAAAATTCAACTGTGAGTCACTAGACTGAACCTGTTTTTAAGCAGATCGAGTCAAAAGAGGCGTGTCAATATCAATGAGTCATAAACACTGGTCAGAGAATAGTCCCATGCGGATATAATCGAGTAATTTGCTCAAAACGGATGAGTCATTCCTACACAAATAAAATGCGCTTGGATAATATTTAGAAATGATATTTCCGTCATTTTCGAAGGCAAGTTGTTAGGATATAGTTTCAGAGCCTTCTCAGGAGTGCATTTACCAATTTGTATTTTAATAATTATCTGCGTGTTTTTCATTTTTATGGATACAAGTACCTGGATATATGTAGATTTCCAATCAATTAAACACTTCAGTTGATAATAGGTACCGAAAGCATAAAACAATCGGTAAGAAATACGTACGTTGTAGAAACGGAAATGTATTTCTCTTCTTTCTCTAGTCGATGTTCTCGTAAACCAAAATTAAAATTATGAGACCGATTAATATTCAAAATTCAGATTTAGTTTTCATCAAATATAACATCCTTCTGCCCCAGCCTGCAAACTAAATAAAATGATCAGAGTGTGTTGAGGGTGATAAAAAGAGGGAAGCGTTGTAACCAATTATGTTTTACGATTTCATGACTTCAAAAGTAAAAGGCTTGCAGGTATGAAATGCTAGTCGATTCATCTCAAGCTGTTGTTAACATATTTTTCACACATCGATTTTTTTCCCCATTTATTTTTAAATAAAGAAATCATTAATTAACGTATGAATTGTAATTATCACTAATTCGAGGGTGAAACACGTGTCCGATCCATACCCAAGTCACTGAAATACGTCCAATAGCAACAAATCTATGAATATTACAGCAAATTAAATAAATTCATGAAAACTGTGAGGTAGCTTGTAGTTGATCTACAGCTTATGTATAACTTTTTAATCTTAACACTTTTCATTTGTTAAAAAATAAAAAAATAAAAAAAAAAACCATCAAACTTTGTATAGCTATATACCGTTAAAATTTGAATTAGAACTATGATTCATATTTAGCAAATATACTTTTATTGCGGTGGTTTCAAAATTAGAAAGTTAACACAATAATTACGACGAAACAAAATTATTGCGTTACGTATCCTAACATGTTTTTTTTTTTTTTTTTTCATAAGTAATCTTACACATCGAAGTCCCATCCCGCGGTATCGGTCAAGAAATCCTAGCTTCGAAAGAAAAAGCAACTTTTTGCACGTCAGGTATCGACCCCACGCTTACACGCCACTTAAACTGAACACAAAAAATCAAAATCGTCGGACGCAGCGTCCTGAGTCACAATTAGAAATGTTGAAATGTTTTAAAAAAAGAAGAAGATATCTAGAACAGCCCCCAAAACGCGACTTTTCCTTTTCCGAAACCTTGATATTTTGAAGCAAGTGCGCCAAGTCATGAAATCCCGGAATCGTTTAGAATGCTTACACCAATCGCAAGTTCCTTACCTCGAAACTTCTTCCGGTTCTCTCCGATAAGGTGCACCGTTGATCACAATGCACGTAAATCCTGAGGGAAGTGCGAGGGCTCCTGATCGCCGAAGAAGTCACAAAAATCCAACCGTTAGAAGCTCACGACACTGGACAAGACGACAAGCGATAGTATCGGCGAAGGATAATCGGAACCAACTATTGTTTACAAACACGAACACGTCGTCGCGACTAGACAGGAGAGCCAGAAGCGCCAGCACCACACAAGCGCCAACGTATCATTTACCTGTCTGAATGGAGCTGAGCGTGATGCATGCATCCGATACTAACACGAGGTCCACGATCCACGCCGAAACCAGCGACGAGGGAACAGCACCGTGCCAAACTGACGTCACCAGGTAAAGGGGAAAAATCCTCTATTTTTTTCCTCTCTTGTGCCCACGTGACGTCACAGTCTAAAGATCGCCCCCATCTCGCTGTTCTCGCGATGGACTGACTCATCCGTGGTGGGATCTCCGTACCTGCCTGCTGCTGACGCGGTGTTGTCACATGTGACGCCCACCTTGCTCCAAGACCGGTTTTTTTTTCAATCTTCGGAGTTGGTTTAATTTATCCACGCTCGTTGTGTCTGCGCGGCACACAATGAACCGAGCTAACGGGAGAAGTCGGACATGTCATGGAAACTTAAAACGCTTTTATCATCGGAAGTTTAAAATGCAGGGATTTCAAAGTGTTTTCATTGACTTCCTCGTCAAATTTCCTCGCATGAGCATCCTTTAAAATTTAAATTTTAACACAATTAAAATTAAAATTTCCAGTTTTAGTCGAAAACTCCTTTCCCGACTTCTGCCGAAGGCGCCCTCCACTGTGCGGCGACGGCGCGGTACGCTTATTACGCCCCCTCCCCCAGCCCTCCTCTCTTTGCTGTTTTTCATTCACCATTTCGAGGAATATCCGGAATAGAGCCATGAGTAATAAAGATCCCCCTAACCCGCTAATTACTGACCACGTTTTATTATGGACCAGGCATATGCGCTATTGCAAAGTATGCATATTTCCCATTCGAGATTTTCTGAGAACTCTTGCCTTGGATATTTCTGACTTTTTCATGTAAGCGTTTCTCGAACGTTCTCGAAGAAATTGGCTTGTGATTGCACCCCTGAAAACAGTGCGTAACAAGAGTTTGATGCAATGATTAAAATTTAAAAAAATACGCAGAGATTCATATCCCACTTGCCTTATTACGTGAACACTGGAAAATTTTCTTCTCTTATGCATCATCGAATCCTGACCTCCAATTGTGGTTTTATCTTGGATTTGCGGCCCCGTTTGATCAGAGAAAATGTTCTATCTCGCAATTAAAATATACGACCGAAATTCCACATATGACGATACCTGATTTGACTCATTAACTGAATATTATCCAGGTTACCTTTTGGCCTTTAAATTGAACTGACATCTTAAAGGGCACCCCCATTTGACCGAAGAAGCAAGTATTTTTCAATTCATATTTGAAAAATACCATTGAAATTACGTAGAAAATGATACCTCACATGACACTATGTGTAGATTTTCAAACAACAAATAAGCCCCAGATAGCCATATATTTGAGCATCATCTTAACTTGTAGGTACTTCTGTGAGACTCGTGCTGAGTAAAATGACCACTTGCGCGATGGGCTTATTCTCAAACGACGAAAAATTAGGAGTCCGGCTCTGATTATACAAACAATTATTTTACGTTTTTCGATTTCTATTAATTTGAATATTAAATCTATTAATGGTATACTTTTTTTATCTATGTACGAATGTTAGCAATTAAGGTAGGTATCTTTTCCCACAGAGCTATTTCAGTGGTATAGGCAGCGAAATATCTCGGAAAAAAGTAAGAAAATACGAAGTAAGTAGCCGGTTCACGTCACGCTTGGTGAATGATCCCTGCTTGCTCGGGACATTTGAGAGTGATACCACTATTCGGCCTCGTGAGAGCTCGTGTTGCCTACACTGAAAACTGAAGGCACTCCAACAGTGAGGTAAACTCACCGCTTCACGCTACGCTCCGTGAATTATAATCCCTCTTCGTGCAATCTTGACAACTGTGAGTGATACTACTGTATGGCAAGCTCCTTTACTTACACTTAAAACTGAGGGCAAACAGACAATGAGCGAAAATCAGATCCACGATATTTTTCAAGTTTTTCCCGATCAAGAAAAATTCCCGGACAATTCTAGACTTTTCAGATTGCTCGACGCCCTGATTGTGCTCACTTTTACAAAACAAATACTTGTCAGGGTTAAATAATTTTAAAAATTAGCCAGGGGGATCCCCGAACTCCTTCTTTTTGGGGGTATTCGGTGTACCCCATCCCCCGCATAATTACGAATACATATCACAACGAAAGAAAAAACCAAATTTAAAGATTGACGCAAACTTGCCTGCAATATTTCTGAACCTGATTGGAAACCAACCACCTCACATGAGAAATTCGAAAGTATGTAGTGCGTTTTGAATTTTACGGTAGTATCTGGGAGATAATTTTGTAAATGAAGCTCTGTTTGCATACCGTCCGCAAGCAATATATTTTTAATTGCCTTCGAAAAAGAATAAAAAAAAACCCTTTAAAAGTTCTGCTGGACTCGCGGAACTGTTTCGCAGCGGCTGAGCTTTATGAGTTCCGAGGCGAGAGTGTATAATTTTTCCGTTGCTTGCAACAAGATAAGCACTTACGCCATGACAATGCATACCGAAGTTATCATACGCGCGAGAACAATTGATACCAATTTGTGTGGCCTAAAAAAGCGGGACCTGTGCAAGCTGAGCTATTATTCGCTCGACTGGTGTCATGCTCGCTTTGTTTCACTCCGTCGCACGGTGGCTGTGATAAGCCACAAAAAAATCCCTTAATTCTCTTTGATCGTGAAGTTGTACCACCTAGCAGTCGTTGAGGGCTCCAGTTAAAGGAAACTCCTAATAAAAGTCCTAATCCTTATTAAGCACATATGAAAAAGTTCGAAGGTTCCTCCAACCCCCCTCCTCAAATTTCCCTCGGAAAACTTTATCCTCTAATTCCTCTCTCTCTCTTTATCTTCTAATTTTTGAATAATGATATCATACCGGTAACGAATTGGTTTAAAAAAATAGAATGTTAGTCACCAACTCAATATGTGACAGCAGTATATCATTGTAAGACTTCATAATCATTTTATTGAGATGATGTAGCCAAGACATTGCGTAGTTAATGTTTTATAAATTACTTAAATTGTGCGTGAAAGCTTCTCGGGGGAACATACCCCATCTTCAGCGCTTATTATAAACATGGATTACTAAGTTAGATACATAATCAGCCTAATTCTATCTTGCTTTCCTTTTGATATCAGTAACATGAAGCCGAGCACTGAAGGAAAATAATCAATTCGTATCAATACATTAATGATATCATCATTCTTGGCAGGGTCATTTGCTTAAATTATAAAATAGCATTTACACCGAAATTTTAGCTTATAATTCTATGAACGGTGCCCCAAAGTTCAATTACCGGAGTGCAAGAGCGGGTTCTAGGAGTCAAAAAAAGATTAGTTTTATGAATGATTTTTGCGCAAAAAATTCCTCTAGTCGAAGCTACAGACTCTCCTCAAATTTTTGGGAAAATCATCATTTTAAATAGTTTTTGCAACCGTCAAGGACTGTAAGTCATGCAAAATGACAGGACCCCATAATTATTACAGCTAAATTCATCTATTGCCTCAAAAATATCGAGTCTCAGGGGGATTTTAAAAGGTCTAGGGGGAAGGCAAGTTTTTTACTCTGAAGTATCTATGACCCCTTGAAATCCCCATTTACTGAAGAGCCCATAGTTTTGAGGCCAAAGCCAAAATTAGCTCTAAGCATTATATCATTTTTCATGAGTTTATGGTCCATTACCGCTGCCAAAATTGAAAAAAGAATCGATAATTTGCCCAAATTTTTGAGGGCCTTAGCTCCGACAGGGGCGCGTTTGAGAAAACTTGGAAGAAAGTGTATTTTTGGTTATAAAGCGCACTCCCGCAGTCTGGTGGCTTAACGCTGGGACATCTTGTAGATTTCATGACTTGTGTTCGAACTAAATGCTGAGCCATTGTGCGTCGACTATTGTGCGCGCTACCAGGTAATTACTCAATCTCCAGCCGGTACCATCAGGATTGAATAATCGATTATGAATATGAACGGTCACTCCTCGGATATACCCGGAAAATAAGAAAGTTGTGTGTCATTTCAGTAAGTGGTCCTTAAAGCAAGAGAGCACTGTATTCCTACAAATGTTCAAACACCTGAACCGCCGCGGGCCGCAAAAGCACGAATTTTCATGCGGTTCATTCTTGTCGCCAATTTGAATCTGCCCGATAATTTCCATTGATTCACATGGAGAGAATAGGATATCGTAGCTCTGACAATATTCATGTCTAACTGTAGGCCCAGCCCACGTTTCTAGTATAAGTTACAACTTATACAATGCTCATTTTAGGGTAACGATTATTCCGAGTCCTAATAGCGATGCATTATTAGCTATGATTTCTCGTAGTAAGGAATCGCGGTGATAGATTTTTTTATAGCCTTTGATGTAACTACAGAAACCACTCTATTCAGTATTTGAGCGTTGACTTCATCATCATAGTGCCTAAGTCCTTCAAAGTATTTTACTTTAACATTTTGACAGTCGTAATTGAACTTAGCACCTAGATGTAGATTGACTGTATCTCTTATGATGTAATTCTATTATCTTGGTTCTTACACCTTAGCAGAATTACTCGTACTTTAAATAGAGATCCGAACTACTTCGCTCGTATCTAACGATAGAAACTTTAGAGTATTTAGTTTTCATTTTAGTATTAAGTTGACATTAGAAGGAAGAAAAAAACACAAGACAAAAGATGAAGTACCAAAGAGTGGAAATGCTGTGTTAGATAATATGGTTTTAACCACTTAAGAGCCAACATACCCTCCCCCCCCCCCCCAAAAAAAAAAGAAAAATTCAGTCGCATGGCCTCGAGCCTTCAGAGGCGAGTCGACAATATGCTGAGTCCTATCCATTCATGTAATCAGGGTAGGATAAGTAAACACAGGTAAGAAAGGAGGTTTATTAACAAATTAAAAATGTGAACTTTAGCTCATATTGAAGAATCTTGAGATCTTTTTTTTCAGAACGCATGATATCAAATACTCTGTAAATCCACGCTTGCCCTTATACTTGAAGTACTTAAGAGGATGCGCTAAAGCTGAACTTAAAAGTCAAGCAAATTCGTCATCTTTATTCACGAATTCCCTTCATCACAGGGATAATACATAATCATTTGTGTAATTATTATAATCTGGAAATGCGTTTCTTTTCCTGTCTTTTTTCTTTTGTGCAAAGTAAGTATACTCCGTGCTAAGTTTGCTCTAAATTCCACTTGAAACCGAATCAAATTTCAGAGTAAGGGATTTATGTGTGTCTATGGCTACCACCTTTCTTCTATAAGCCTCTTTCATTGTTGCCGAGTTTATACTTTGTCCGGAGGTGGCTACCGCTGTCCATGATTACACACTCTCAGAAAAATCTGAAAAATAGAGAGATTATCTAGACGATTGAAATTAATGTCACTGTGAACCAAGAGCCCCCGGAAAGTGTTGTATCATGACCATTTTTAATTTCGTTTCTTGCTCCATTTTTAGGCGCGGTACCCATTTTGCCTTGTGTTTTCTTCTCTCCTTAGTCTCTGAGCTAATTATTTGTATTGTTTCGATTATTGAATATGTCCATGTATTATATCGCTGATTTAGTTATGTGCAAAAATGAATAGAATAAGTTTGAACAAAATTAAACAAATGAGAGGCAATAATTTAAGAAAGTAATTTTTCAGAGCGGCTATTTGGATGGGCTGCGATCTCAGTTGGGGGGCTGGACTGAGAAAGTGAAGTCGTGGTATTGGGGCAATCCTCTAGTAAGTTAGATTTGTTCAATGTTAGATGAATGATACCTATAGTCACTCTTTTAGTCCATCAACTTTATTTATTGCACCTTCTTCGTTTTTCGGATGTCTCTCTTCTTTTCATACCAATAGTTATCCATACTTCCATTCAAGTATTGCAACATCCCAACAACTTTTTCACTGAACCATTACTTAGATCTCTGAACCGTAGACAAGTCTATTGACTTTGTATTTTTAATCAACCAAGAATCTTGAGGCACCTCATACTATATCTCCGATGCTTTGACGGTTTCAACATTGCAGATGATGAATCCTTTGGCATGCAAATCCCTTGACAGAACTCTATCGCTTTTAATCAACACCTTTACAGCTATAATACCCATCTAAAAACCAACCTAAAATCCACCTTCCATTTTAAGAATCTAACGTTTAATAAATACCAAAAAATACTGTTAACATCGTGACGATGGGTTTCAAATGATCCTGTACATTTTTAAATGTGTCCTTTCCCTCGAATAGTTTGAATTTAAACTCATTTTATGTCGATAACTTAGGTTTGAATAGTTATTTTAAAAATAAAATGTAAAAAAATCGGAGAAACCTTTGAGAATCATCAAGAAAAGATACTCGAAACCAAAAAATGAGTTTACGAAGAAAATATTTTGACCTAAAAACGCTCACTCAAGGTGCGATCATCGAAATTTTAAGCTACGAGATTCTTCAAATGAATATTAACTGTTTATATGGTAGCCAAATTATCGGGAACAACGGTCGAGATCAGGAAAAATAAGTTTACATTTTTCAGTCTGGAATCCAAATGCTGGTGGACCAAAACCTTTCAATCGAAATTTCATAGTACATTTCACGGCTGATAAATTAGTGAACACTTTTTTCTTATTTTTTTACTGCATTTTCGAGTGCGCAATTCCATCTGCAACGTGTAAGTGGTTCCTTTCCATCTCAGATCTGAAACATTTCAAATTAATCATGATTTAAACTCTTTTAAATAAAGCTGAAAAACTCATTAAGCTATCAAAACAGTGCTTGCCGCCTTGCCCATCATTTTGCCCCATTTTTAACGGCTTAGTCGAAGTACAATTCATCTGATTAGATGTATAGCGACACATGAGAAGAGAATTGGATGGAAGTGTTCTTCCTCTTAGAAAAGCCTGCATGCCCATATTTTATCCCAGCACAAATTTTTCTGTAGATGACAGTAGTTGAAGGTAGCGGCTGTAGCAACTTGTGTAATTTTAAATTGAACAATTTTCAGTTTCATTTTAGCATGAATGCCCTCATTTGTTTAGTTGATGTTTTACTCCTTCCCTGGATCTTTTTATCGAATTAAAACACCATATCAAAATATTCTATTCATTCAAGTTGATATTTTAACAGTCTCAAAACTCCATAGCTACGTTACAATCACAGCTACCTTAAGCATAACAGACCTCTTGTGCACCACATGATACCATTCGTAATCGAACAGTATCACCTACTTTTAATTAGCACATTAACTTTACTAGCCTGTACTCATGCTAGCTCATCCGATGAAAGCTGAATATAATTAAATTTAGCAAAATCTGGTATGATGGTTGAAAATTTTAAAGTACTCTGCCTGCTGTATTTTTTCAAAGTTCTGAACCCTAGCAAATCAGTAAAAGTTAACCAAAATACACTCTTGGCCACATTTTCATACGATTGATCTCAGACCTGGAAATCATGTACTTAAATCCACACTCTGATAAAAAAAATTTAGGGAGTTTGCTGGCCAGCGTTATTCCGAGTTTGCAGGTGAACATCAGGTTTTGACACTAAGTCGTTGTTCTAATTATTTGAACTTGTTTTGCTGACAAAAGCATTGCTATGTGGTATTACCTCTGAGGGTTTTTTACCTACGATCACACATCATTTGATGGCAAAACAGCCACGTATAGGTACTTTTCTCCATGCGGCTTTTAAACTTTCGTCCACAATTCCACAATGCTTTTTTGTTTGTGTAATAATCGACACTTGAAATGCTTCACAAAGTAGGGTACTCCATACATGACCGGGGTAAAGAACGGTTTTAAAAATTGAAGTATGAAAAACACTTTTAAGATAAATTCTAGGAATCATAAGTTAATTTAAGTTACTAAAAATTAATCAGAGATAATTAAAGAATATAGACCCTGGACAGCTGAAATGCTTTACTTACTACAGCTGAAATGCTTATACTTTGTTCATGCCCCTGTCATTCCTTTATTATTTTCATCTTATTATACTCGTATGTTACTCGCCTTCCGTTAAGAAACATTATAGATTATTCATGTGTCACATCTCCGCGATTTGAGCTAATGCTAAGAAACTCTGCTCGTCTTCTATAGAAGCACAATTGAACTGCAAGTGTATCCAAACTTTTGTCGCCTTGAATTTTAGTACTCATTGGAAGTTCGGAACATAGTATGCATGTGGTCCGAAATTAGACAGCCCCACACTTTTTTCTCGCTTTGTAAGTTCAAAATCCACTCTGAAGTTATATTTTCCAATGAAAATACACAATATGTCGACGGTGTAAGTCCAAAAACCACGTATCTCAGTCGGTTTGCGACGTCGCAAACTTCCTGTCATACTTTATTTTTTAAACGGAAAACTATTCGAAGGAAATTCTCTAAAACTGCCATGATTTTTGCGAAAAAAACTGCGAAAACTTCAAGGAAAGATGTCAATTTGTTCTCCTTTAAAAGAATAATATAGAGGCGGATATTTTTAAACACCGCAAAACGAGATACGTGGTTGCGGATGTACGCCGTCGATATGTTTGATTCTCATGAAAGAATATACAGTATAAGACATACTTTGGAAATTGTGTAAATCGATGGCTATAAATGCAAAATATGTGTATTTCAGTTGCAAAGTTTAAAAATCTCCGATTAGATTAAATTATCTTTAAGGGAAACCAATCAACAATTTCCCTTGCGATTATGTGTTACTTTTTAGATTGAGCAAAGGAAATTCTAAAAAAAAATTAAATAGAAACCGCAGGTTAGTTTTCTTTCAAAAAAATAAAGTTTGATCGAGGATTTACCACATCTGCGATACGCATTTTCCGTCTTCAGCTATGAAAACTGTCCCGTTAGGGGCAAGCAGTGGCGTGGCGTAGCGTGCTTTGCGATATGTCGATTGATCGGCCATTTAAACCTATGGAAAAGTATCGATAAACAAGGTGTTCGCAGCGAACACGTTAATAATCGATTATTTGCCACTGCTTCAAATGAGGAAATATCGATAGATCGCAAAGCACGCCACGCCACTGGGGGCAAGCTGCCTGAAGAGGGAAGAACAAATCGTGGAAATGAATATCCTTGTTGAAGGTGGAGAATATGGAGGAAGTACTTTTGAGAGTTTGAGGCGATTGAGAGTCAATTTTCAAGAAATCCGCAAAAAGAAGTGTTAGCCGAATGATATATTCATCCTATGAGTGTAAAATATGATGATCGAAAGAGAAGCCTTCAAACTTTCGACTAGGCAACACCCGTTGCGTATATTATCTGATTAATTCAACGTTACGTTTGAAGCCTTGATTCTATAAATACATAGAAAGAAAAGTTTGTGAGTGTTAAAAAAGTCTCGGAGCAGTTCACAACTGACGAAACACTCTTAAATCCATCATAAGCAAATAATTTTTAAAATATTTATTTTTAAGCGGTAGTATTGTGAGAGGCTCTAGTAAAAGTAATTGAGGAAATTATTCAGGCCTATTAGGTAAGTCAAATCATTGCAGAAAGGTAAATATAGGTTATTTTTTTCTTCTTTATTTGACAATATAATGTCGATTTATGGCTATGGAACGTCTATCTAATGATATCTAATAAAAATAATCTCATACTTGGTTCGATTTTTAAATATTGAATGGACGCGAGTTTAAATGTCCCACAGCCTCTGATTCCCCGATTACTTCATGCCTATGTAGAGTTCGTTCTTTGCATCTCATAATGTTTCACGTTAAAAAAAAAAAAAATCAGATTTTATGATTAATATTTTGTACAATAATGTTTGTCTGCGCAGCTGGCAAGATCGCACGGTCGCAACTACGGTATCAGTGATGAGGAGGAATTATTATTAGGTGGTGATAAAAGGGAAGATCAATGGCACAGTAGACCCGAATTAAATAATTCCATTATGGAAAATGAAGCTCACGTAAGTACCAATTTCTTTATTTTCTCTTGTAATTATGATCCGTATTGTGCGAATCTTAATTCTGTGT